AATAGAAAAAAAAAAAAAAAAAAGGAAAATACTGATCGATTTGGAAACTCGATCGAAATTCATGCTGAAAGCAACGATTGATCAATTGGTATAAGCCGTCGCTTATTCGTTCGCGGCGTTCAAACAAACGTTCCCCTCAGGAACGGAAACGGTTTTCCCCGGGTGGAAAAAAAAAAGAGAAAAACTTTTGCCTCAATCCGCGCTTGTGTGCATTTTCGGAATGTATTTGCGAGTGGTGTGCACCCCGATGACGAAGAGTACGCGTGTGTATACTGTGCCGTACAAAGCGTAGATTGTGCGTGAATCGAAATGGTTTTGGCTCGTCGTCGTTACTATAGAAATCTCGAAAGAGAATCGACGTCGATATATCGAGGAACGTCGTGACAGACAGCTTCAACCCAGTGTCCATTGTTTCTCATGTCTAAAACATTTTTTATGTAGAAATTATGAAAAAAAAAAGGTAAATCTTAAAATTTCACGATGGATACGAAGAAATATAAATAACATAGAATCTGTAAAGTAACTTTCATCGTTGAGGTTATGATCGTGTTCCGAGACGAAACTTAATTCGACAAGAATCGTATTTAGGAGATTAAATCTTCATTTCTGTTGTAATTCCTGGCGAAAAGAAGAGGTGTTTAAAAAAATATTACAACAATTTAATTAACGTGTCCCGAATACGGGTGTAATAAATTGAATTAACAACAAGAGCGAGAGGCGCAAGGGGCAACTGGAGCCACGGCCCGTCGCGACGTTCTCGTATACCGGGTGGCGCGAACGTTCGGTGTACTGCTAAGAGTCGAAAGACGCGGATTTCTACACTCTCGCGCATTTTTACAAAAAGCGCCATCTCTTCTTTCCTCGTTCTTCTTCATCAGGTTTCCTCTCTTTCTCTCTTTTGCTTACCCTGTTTCGTCCCGAGGACTCTTTCTAAAAGGGAAATCCTTTCCCTGCTCAGCATCCTAGATAAGAATCTTACAAGGCAATGTCGCAGCCAACGGAATACACATTCTGGACATCTGCGCGAGAGATGTCCCTTAAATAGAGAACCGATAAAACTCTTACTTTCTTTTTTTCTCTCTTTTCTTTCTTTCTCTTCCTCGTTCGCGTGTGGAAGAGAAGTCTGTCACACCTCTATGATATCCATCCATTTTTCTTTCACTTTCACGCTTCAAAAAAACACAGATTCACCATTTCCCCCTTTCGCTCGTTCTCGATCATTCTTCACGCCTTTTACTCCCATCATTCTCTCTGTCTTCTCACTGTTTTTTCTTTTGTGTTTCTCGCTCTCTGCAACTCTCTCTTCACTATTTTCTCTATGTACAGACTGCGAACTGCGGATAAATGATAACTTACTGGCTAAACTTATTCTACGACAGTGTTTAACTTATACCGGGTGTGCGGATAGAACGAAACTCGACACGTTTCTCGTTTCATATAGTAGTTCATCAGGTTTTTCCTGTGTCTTTTTTTTTTCTTCGATACAGCGATTGCGGTTCAAGAGTTCGTTACGGTAATTTAGAGAGAGAATAATTGATGCATTTCGAGGTTAGGATTTATAATTGACCATTACTTTGGAAGCCATCTTGGATAGAGCAAGATACCTATATAAAACTGATTCTACGACGATAACCAAGTGTGAAAAGCAATATTTTCTAAATCAGCCTCGAATTGAAAAGAAAAAACATTCGACAAAAGCAATTACAGCATGTAAACTATAAATAAAACAACCGTTATTCTCCCCCATGGAGAGAATGATTAATATTTCAATTCACGCAAATAACTCGGCAATTTGAATTACCTCACTCGACTGTCTAAGCACTCTAATTAATCCAAGAATTTCATCCCCGATTCACTTTCCAGAAACTCCTAATAATTCCTGTCAACGGTGCAATTCATAAGGCAGCACGGTACATCTACAGAAAAGGACAGAGGCACACATACGCACACACGTACATACACGCATACATACATAACAGCGGTGTTCTGAAAAGGTGTTGCTGATTCTATTTGCGATGAAAAGATTGGCACTCGGCAATTGGCTGGCAGGAAGCAGCTGCTCCGCCTACCGCGCACGCTGCCTTGGTCACGCTAATTTGCATACCGTTCGAATCTACACGCTCCTAGTCTACCATCTACCAGCTTAACACGCGTGAAGCAATTAAAATAATCATTTTTCACCGACGCAACCGCTTAATGAAGAGATATCTTCGAATACGACGAAACACCACCCAACCAACCACTGTGTTTTTGTTAGGTTAGGTTCTTCTTTCTTTTCTCTTCTCTCTCTTTCTTACACGATAGAGAACACACACCGTGTACGAACTCTTGAAACAAGCTTCTCACGTATACATATATATATATACGAATATACAGGACCCATAGAGATCGCGAATTGATAGAAAAACGAGACGATGGCGCGAGCCATAAATAAGAACACCGAGAAACTTTCCGAATAAAATCGCGTATCAGAGGAGTAGTGTGAAATTGAATCGTGGTGCCTCGTGGAGAGTGGCTGATTCGCAAACACCCGGTACTCGTCCAGTACAGACGAGATTAACTTAATCTTCTCTCGAATGCGTGTGTATAATGTGTATACGCGCGCGTGTGTGTATGTGTGTCTCTATGTATGTGTGTATTTTGCGTACGTGTGTAACGTGTGGTTGTTACGAGCGTGTGAGTGTATATTATCTACATATGTACACAGGACAAACACAGAAGCGTACGGTGTGAGAGGATCGGTGTGTGAAGAGCGTGTGTGGTTCGTTATAGCGACGTTAATTAATTAGCGGGTGGCTAAGATCCGTACACGCCTCAGAGATCATTCCGGAGTTTGTCCGGCGCGCGGTGTGTTATATCTTCGGGACGACATCGTCCCTCCCATAAAACGGGGAGGGGGAAATTGTGTTCGGATACCATCGACTTTAGCCGTATTTTTCTTTTTTTCTTTTTGATTTAGCAATTCTTCTAAATTATTTTTTCATGAAAATTTACGTTATGGATGATGGTAAATTTGACTGTTCAAGGGTGTTTTCACTTATGGTGTAACTTAAACCTTCAACTTCTTCTCTTTTTCTTCTTCCTCAGATTTTGGAATTTTTCAATTTTATGGCAAAACTTTATACTATGGGTAACAGTGAATTTGACTAAAATTTTCGACTATTCAAGGTGTTTCATATATGGTACACCTCACTCCTCCATCTCCTAATTTCTAATTCTACCGTTTTCCCTCGACAACACAGAGAAACAACGTCAGATACAACACACATTAACATCACACGTTATCTCCAAGGTTTCGCCAAACATGAAACACCCTGTCTGCCATCACAATTTCTCAATTTTTCCACCCAACACACCACAACAGTCGCACGGCGTTCACAAGTCGAGGTCGTCACGAAGATTCTGGCAGCAACACCGAAGCCTGTACGGTCTTGAACCGACTACTGGTAACCGTAAATAACGTATGCGTGTGTTCTCTTACTCCCAGGAGCTAGGTACGGGCGGTGTTACGCTACGGAGATTAAAAGGGGATGATGACAGAGAGAGTGGTGTGTAGCTTAGTGTGTGGATCGTTGGTCGCGCGATAAAAGGAACAGAAAGAAGAAAGGGTGGAGGAAAAAAAAAAAAGAAAAAAAAACAACTAAAACTGATGATACAACGCGCTTGCGTTTCAGGCGTGTGTGTGTGTCTGTTCTCTGGAAGTATACATAACCTCGAGCTGTGTGTCTTGTCTCACGATACGGGAAAAAAGGAAACAAATGCTAACATGTCTTTTGCTATTTCAACCCGGAAGCGTTCCCCCGTTGCCTCGAATTTTTCCTCTTATTTTTTTTTCTTTTTCATTTTCACGGCTACTATACGCAATTGTCTTATGTATGTATATATATATATACACACACATTTATATATATACACTACCGGCCAAATGTTTGGGATGACTATGCATTGCAAGTTGCACCAAAATTCTTAAAAGAAGAGTTAGCATTTATAATAATTTTTTAACGAACTTTTTTTCTTTCAAATCAATTGAAACGAGGTAAAGTGCTATTGATCTCCGCAACATCAATTTCAAATCAACAAAGAATTAGTAACGGATTCAATATTGATGTAAATTGGCAGGTGATTCCAAATTTTTGGCCGGTAGTGTACATACTATATCATGTTTCCCCCCAAAAAATTAGGAGAACAAATGTACGCGATGCGTGTGTGTTTGTGTGTGTTGGCATTTTTTTTCTCTGTGTATATACTTTCAACGTGTGATACTGCAGGGTGATCCATTTTTTTCTTTCTCTGTTCCAAAATTAATCTCACTCTGGAGCTTGTTTGTTGTACGGTTAAAAATGTCGAGGCATAATGTGGTCTCGCTTCGGTCAGAATTATATATATATATATCGACGTTTCTCTCTTCAATGTTCCGCGCGCAAATGTCCCTAGATTCTTCCACAGGAGAAAATCCAGGGTGATCTGAACAACCGGTTTCATCGCAAGTTTTTTCCCCGTAGCACACGATCTTCTCTTCCCTCGTAGATCTCCCTCTCTCCCCCTCTCTCTCTCTCTTTAATGTTTCGATCGTACGCTACGAAAATCGTTACAGCGATGGGTCCCTGGTAATGTGCCTACTAAATTAGTAAAATCCTCAACTAAGGAAGGTTTCTTCCGTTCGTCTCGATTCGAATCGCGCGCCATTTTTTCCACGCGATCACAAACGAACGCGTTTTCAACGAATATCGTCGTCGTCGTCGTCATCGACGGATCATCACAAACTGTGTTTCGTGTATGTGTGTGCAAAAACGTTCTTTCAAAATTGTCTAACGTAGAATTACATAATTCTTACACGAAGAACAAAAAAAAAAAAAAGAAAAAAAAATGGTCCAGGTATCTCTCGAAAATAATACATTTTCTTCTTCTTTTTTTTCTTTCTTTTGTTCACAGAATTAATTTCTGTCAGCCAGATATCCCTTTTTACGAATCGAAACGTGAGTTTTTCTTTCGTTCTCTCTTTTCTTTTTCTTATCGTTCTTTCTTCCTTTCCCGGCTTTTCTCCGGGGGTTCCCTTATGTTTTCTCTTGGTTCCTCTTGCCCTGACTGCTCGGGGCCCAGGGTCACAACGAGTGATAATCACCCAATACCAAACCGCTGTGATAATTACCGTGTGGCGTAGCCATGCCCATGGAACCCATACCCTGATACGCCCCCATGCCCATGCCGTTCATCGACATGGTGTTCATAGTGTTCACGCCCTGCATAGTGTTCGGTAGCATCGTCGACGGGCCCATTGGGCTCAGCCCACCCATGGAAGGAGCGATAGCACCCATCTGCATCGACGTCGCCGTGTGCGGAAGCGACTTCTGTAGATCCGCCGATGTTGGCGTGATCAGATAATCCTGGAACAGAGAAACGTGGGCATGTGCTTTTCATCGCTGATATTACTGTTGTGCAGTAGAGGTTTTGCAGTAGGTGTATCAATTTTTATATTCCAACGGATGACGATGGTTTGATAATGTGCAAATTGGAAGATTGTTATTTATTTGTGTGTTTATTGTGAAATAAAACTTTGCTGGGAGTAATTATGGGGATAATATGAAGTATTATTTATCATGAACGATAGACAGAATGGAAATTGGTTAATTGAAATGATTATTGTATTTAATAGGTTTTTGTCGCAAGTATTGCATATGATGATACAGAGGGATCAATTGATTTTGGGGATAGACTATATACAGTAATTGTGTTACTTGAAGATCTGCAACTTTAAGTGGGTTTCCAATCGTTGAATTGCAAAATTTCATGATTGTAAGGAACGCATTGAAAACTAGCCTTGGAGAATAGTCCATACTTTTTTATAAATCAGAGCAATCTAAGCCCTGTGGAAACTATCGATATTGCAACCTGTTCCAATAAATTTTGCAGGCCATCCATAATTACCTATTCTCAGATAAAAAGGCACAAATCCTACAGCATCACAATTAAAACACACTGTAGAAATCTCCACAGAACTAAACATAGATACATTCTCCACTATCTTCTTACACTAATGAAAACTAGAAATTTAACAAACACTTTACAAGAATGTCTACACTGCAAAGAATATCTTCTTCCACTGAGCAAAAACTAAAAATTGGTAAAAAGAAACACTTTACAGAAACATCTACACTACAACAAAGAATATCTTCTTCCACTAGCAAGAACAAAAAATTGTAAAGAACACTTTGCAAAGATGCACTAGTAATTCTACACACTACAGAGAACATCCCTCCTTCACTAATGCAAACTGAAAATTTCAAAAAGAAACTTCTGCCAATCACGTTAGTAAACACAAATTGTCTACACTACAAAATCTCTTCCCTCCTCTGAAAATCTCATCCACCCTGCCCCCCCCCCTTCTTTCTCCAATTCAAAAACGAAACCACACTGGAAATTTCACTGTACCTGTGGACTATAGTACTGCATATAGTCCAACTGACTCTTCTGCTGGGCGCAGCTGGGTGGTGGCGGTGGCAAGGTCGCCGTGGGATGTACCAAGCCGTGAGTACCATGAGCACCGACCTGGAGATGATGCTGCAGCTGATGATGGAGGTTCCGTTTGTCGTCGCCGCTCTCGCTTCCGGTGTCGTGGTGCTGCATATGGTGCGTCGGCGTGTGAGGATGGCTCAAGGTCGAGCTATGGCCTTGGTGATACGAGTGCGGACTCGAGACCGAAACAGGAGGCGGAAGTTGATACATGCCGGACGTCTGCTGGTGTTCCACCATCTGTTGCTGTTGTTGCTGCTGTTGGACAGCACACGCGGAAGGTTGTTGCTGCTGCTGTTGCTGACTCGCTGCTTGCCTCTTCGTCTCGTCGCCGTCCTCGCTGCTGGAATCCCCTAATCCTCCGCCGTGAGTCTTGTCCTCCCTTTGACCGCTGCAACAGAGAAATTTGATTTCTTTTTTTTTTGTAGAAATTTCGAGAAATTTTTCACAGGGTTTGCGCTGAATTTGCAGCGATTAAAAATGTAAATTGTTCTTTAATCTTCGACTATCGTAGATTTTTGGATTGAAATTTTGCAATGGTATTCGGTGGAAAAGTTGAGTGCGAAATTTCACCGATCACAGAATAACAATGTTAGTATATAAGAATTATCGAACGAGAATTTTTATCGTTTAGGAACAGGAATATTAAGAAATAACGAGACAATTGACGTTTAAAATTGATATATCAATTAGGTAAATCTTCCACTGAACAGAAATGATCAACGATTAATCGCGTTCCGTGTCATGTTTTCGCGGACGTATCATCGAGAATAACTCTTCGCTTGCATAATTGCCGACCAGGAATAAACTCTGAGTATCCGATTCAGGAATCATAATATCGACGAACTACCGCGTGATATAAAACTGGAACAAGCTATAACCGGGGACCACAAAGATCCACAGTCGCTAATCCACTTACAAACACCATCTTCCCCCTCTCCCTTCGAAGACACCTAATACACTTCCACCGTTCCAGGTACATAGCAAACGTAATTACGAGAAGCTACTTTTACGACCGAGGATCGAGGATCCTCTCTCATAAGCACAAGCTCGTTTTCTTATCGATCCAACGGGGCCTCTCGTCGTTAACACGAACAATACGTGTGGTCAACTGCTGCGCTTGTTGCATTCCAATTAATATTCCAAGTCGATCGTAGGCGAATCACGCGACCTTTGCTCTTCCTTTAAAGCGGTACTCGATTTTATCCTCGTTGCAATGTGCAAGAAATATGATGTGACTACCATTTACGTCTAAGTTCTTAAGAGGCCAGAGTTCGATATCTCGTGATAAAAAAAATTGAAATTTTTATTTCGATATGAATAACTTTAAGTGTATAAATTAAAGTACCGAAGAACGTTTCCATGAAAATGATAGAAGTTTGAGAAACAATGCGTTGCATAACCTAAAAATGTTCGACGCCAATTGCAAACGTTAAAATTCTTTATTTCAAGAAAACATGGCGGCGCTGCATAACCTAAAAGTGTTCGACGTTCATTCGAAAGATATTTTGTTAATACTACGAGTATAATTTAAAGAAGAAGAAAGACAGCGAAATTTCGTCGAATACTTTGCTAGAAAGAGATTGAATAAAGCTAACCTCCAAATCGAATCGCTATCCTTTTAACAACCTCTCTAAACTTCCAAACATAACCTAAACAGCCAACGCGAACCTCTTAGAAATTTAGCATAATTACACGGGAAAGAAGGAGTCGGTGATCGGTAGTGACTCGAGAGAAGCGGAAGAGAATCGAAGCTGGTGGAATAACGTTTGCTAAGATAATACCAGCGTCGATTCGTAAACTACCATGA